TAAAAAATGGGAAAAATTGATGCTTACATTTGGTAATGTTGGTCGAACAATGGGAGGGGCAACCTTTCTACCCCTTTTTTGGTGGGTTTTCGGATCTTTTGAAGTAGTTGCATGTACTTTCTTCTTCAATTTTTTCTTGCTAGAACTTGAATTTGTCATGGTTATCGGAATAGACAACCTTTTAGAACTGAAACCTTTGCTATTCGGATCTTCTGAATAAAAAATTAGAGATTAGTTAGATGTTAGATGCATAATGCAAGATAAAACGATTGATACAAAATAAAAGAAAAAAAATGGCGAAAATTACAATGAAGACGATGAGAAACCCTATTTTGAACTCTGAATCCGGTTTAAAAGTGATAGGATTCTTTTCAAATTCAAAATTATTTGAATTTGATAACTGAAATTGTAATGGGAGAGATTGGGGGGAGAAATTTAGGGAATGGGAAAGATCTGATTTTGCTTCAAACTAATAAAGTATCCGGTTAAGTTGAATTTGAGGGGAAAAATAAGGGATTTTTGTATTTTAATAAAAGAGTAGGGAAATATTGAGAATAGGTAAAGAAGTGTTGTGTATTTAAGTAATTTGTCCTATAATGTATCTATACTAGATGGGCACGGCCGTGCCAGCACAGGCCCAACATATGCATTTGTGTATCTTCACTGCCATAAAGCATTCAAATTTCATGTTTTTTGTTTTTTTTTTTAATTACAGAATATTAGGAATGAAACAATATTTCATTGATGTTGCAAGTAATGATATATTCCCTTATGTGTGTTAATTAAGCACAATTGTTATACACCAAGCACAATTGTTTGTCCTCGCCCACAATTGAAGATTTCTATGTTGAATTTCTTAATTCAAACCCATCTTGTGATTCATCACCACAAGATGAGTAGGATTTCCAACTCGTCTTACTGGAAGCTCCAAGACAAGTAGGATTTCCAACTCGTCTTGTGATTCATTGCCACACACAGACGACCAATTATGTACCTGGAAGGAGGTTTCCAGGTCTAGCATGATTACCAAACCTTTGAAAGATAATCAATTCAAAGAACCTACAGAATGAATACAATTATCACACATTCGAGGCTCAACATAAAGCTCCCAGGCACAACTCCCGAGGACATGATATAGCCTAGTTTTCACTATCTTCCTCCGGTGATCCTTCCGATCACCGGACATCTTTTTCTTTTCCTCCTCTTTTTCTTCCTTTCATCTCTTTTCTTTCTTGCCACTGGGCTCGTTTCTTTTCCATTATGGACGACACGATCTATTTTGCAGTAGGGTTCAAATCATATGACATCACAAGAACATCAGGCACAACAGGGGAATGGTATGACTGGACAGAAAGGAGTAGAAAGTCAATAACGAGGATATCTTTCACTGGCAAGGCCATGGAATAGATATCTTCGATTATGCGAGAAGCATCCAAGGCTAAAGGGAACACAGTCAGAAGGTGGAAGAAAAAAGATGATTTCTACAGAGATCTACTGCGCAAGGAATTTTAACAAATACGGAAGATAAATTAGCCTGATAAATGTTAGAGGTAAAAGAAGGGCAGTCATTATAGTCCCTGAATTATCTTTTAAACTCAGGATGGTCAGGTATTGCAGAGAAGATTGGAAGATTCATCCATAGTTACAAGCGTGTGGGGAATCTAGAGACACATAGACTGGTTGATAGTAATATTCCCTATGTGGATATGCTAAAGAGCAACAAATGGACTAATAAGGGAAGGAAGGACATGCCAGAAAAGATAATAAAGAGGGGGGGCAAAATCTGCATTAATAGAGATGCAAACATCCAAAGTGAGGTACTGAAGAAAAGTTTGGTGGGCGAATTTATGACTAGTAAAGGCGAGGCACCTACCTTGACAGAGGTGAGAGGATGGGCAAGTAGTTTATGGAAAAAGTCCATGGTCTGAACATTTATGATATGGGGGTAAGGTTTTTTCCTTTCGAATTTGCATCCAAGGTACAGCGGAACAAGTAGTCGAAGGGGATTGGGGTATGGAGAAACTTGCCAGTGAAAATGCAGTGGTGGAGTCCAACAGTGTGTGCGTCAGCAGAGGGAGATAGAACCAACGCAATTTGGATCAGGGTGGTGGGTCTACCGTTACACTTCTGGGAGCACCACACCTTCAAAGCTATTGGGGACTTTTGTGGGGGGTGGATAGAAACAGAAGAAGAAACCCAATTGCGAAATCATCTTAAATGGGCGAGAATCAAAATCAAAGGAAACGGGTCTGACGTGCCAAAGGAAGTGACAATAGATGATGGTGATTTTCTCTACA